AAAAAAAAAAAAAAGAAAAAGAAAACCATGTCAGCATGTGTGCATATATGCCCAGAATCCCAAGATAAGAAAGAGAGGGGATTGAGGCATAGCCATCCCCCATGGGAGTGTGTGTCTTCACTTAATTCTCTCTGGTGAGCACACACACGCTATAGCAATTTCAAAACAAAAGCAAAACCACCACTAACTAAAGTCGCTAACACACCAGCCGCAACTGGGTATGCCCTTCCCCGATCCTCAAACCACAGCACGAGGTCGTAGTAGGAGCTGCCCACCGGGAGGAGGGGACCAGCAGCCTTCACGCTGGGGAATGGACAGCACCACCACTCAGACTTCTGGAAACACTGGTCTGGGGCCGGCCGACAGTGAAGTGGTGAAGGTACTGCATCCCACATGCCTAACTCCATGGTGTGAGTCAGCCTGAGAAACACACCAGGCACATGTAAGTGTTACCCCAACTTGCAGAGGGGACTGCGGCATGGCCATCCCTCGGAGGGAGATTTCTCACTTTTCCTCTCTGTCTCTTTCTGGCAAGCGCCTGACACCCTTGGCAAAAATCTAAAAATAAATCAAAACAAAACAAAAAACCCCTCTGATCTGAGCTGAGGAGCCCTTCTCCAGCTCACCCCTTTCCTGGGATGGGATGTGGGTGCTGCCGGCTCACACTAGCAAGGAGGGTATGTGCAGCCACTCCCTCCATCACATGGGAAATAGATGGGCACATTAAATCACCACACTCTACTTCTTCATCTGTAAAATGGGTTCCTCTGTCATCTGGCTGTGTCTGCCTCGCAATGCGTATTCAAGAAACAGAAGCCACAGGGCCATCACAGTGTGCGCTGGAGGAGGGGCTGTGAGGGGAGGCAGAGGTGGGCAGTGTCTGGAGGGGAGGGGAGAGCTGGTACCTGGACGCTCAGGCTGGGAGAGGTTGCGGGTGACAATGCCCCTGATGCAGGTGCTCAGGCAGGCGGGCTGTGGGTCCTGGGCCGGGTCCTGCACGCTCAGGCCTTTCTCCTGGCCTGGCCCCAGGACGCTGGTCTCCAGTGTCTGGAAAGAGAGAGGGTCTTCAGGGCGTTTGGGACCCTAGGCTCCCTGGCTCCCCAGCTCCCTGGCCTGGAGAGTGCAAAGTCTTCACACTCAAGAGACCCTCAGGACACCTCAAGATGGAGCATAGCTTGGGTGTTAGAACCTTAATCTTAAAACCCCCCTGGGAAGAGACGTGTGTGTCCCCTGCCTGAGGAAGAAGGCCCTGAGGCCGAGAAGAGAACCAGATCCTGCCCCAATTCACAGACCCCACAGAGAGGGCAGAGTGGGGGCTCTGACCCAGCTCCAACAGTAGGTAGGTGAGCTCCCGCTGTGCCGGACGCCTCCCCCCACCACAGCAGCATGCACGTGCCCTGGACCGTCTTGCAGGGAGCTACAAGCTGGGTCCCACGCGTCCACCCAGCCACACCTCTCCACCCCCTGACCTGCAACATGGCTACCTCTCACCACCCGCCAGGCCCACGCTCCTCTCCCCAGCCAGGGTGGGCACGGCCCCAGGACCCACCTGAATAACTGTCTCTAACGCTGGCCACAAGCTCATGGAGGGGCGCTGTGGCACCTCTCTGGCCCCTTGCTCCAGGGCCCCAAGACTAGCTCAGCTCGCAGGCCCAGGGGGCCAGGCTGCTGGGCAGAACACCGGACAGATTAAGCTTAAATCCGGCAGTGCCTCCATGTGATCACAGAGTGGGAGGGGTGAGAGGGGGGTGGGAAGGCAGAGGCGGGGCAGGGAAGGCAGGGTAGAGGAAGGGTGAAGAGGAGAGGGGAGAAGGGGAGAGAAAGGGAGGGGTAGAAAGAAAAGAGAAAGGACCAGGAGGAGAAGGGGGGTGGCCTGGAGGTAAGGACACTCACTCTCTCCCTCCACCACCCCCAGGCTGCTGGGTCCTAGAGCCCCCCAACCCCTGGGAGTGGGTTGGCTGCAAGAAGGTGGAAAGGGCCAGAGTCCCAGGTCTGCAGGGCTGTCTTTGCTGACCCAGGACAAAGGCCACGTGGCATGCTAAGAATGTGAAGATTTCTGGTGTCCCCAAATACCCACAACAGGTGCAGAGCAAAGAAGGCAGGCTGTGGGGCAGCCCAGACCAGGCAAAAACCTGACTCTCCATCCCCAGGGACAGCAACTTTGCCTCTCTGGGCGCCAGAATCCTCATAACAAAGATGCCATAACACAAGGGGTCCTCAAGGTATCCAGGGGAAATATGTTATTATGAAGAAACTATGGATGCATTTCAATTTTATTTGCACTAACATTAACTCACTTTTTTTTTCATTAAGAGGTTTTTGTTATAGGGCATGTGTGCTCACCAGAAAGACAGAGAGAGACAGAGAGACAGAAAGCAAGAAATCCCCCCCCAGAGGGGATGGCCATACCACAATCCCTTCTCCTCCATTCTCCTCTCAGGATCTTGGGCACACATGCACACATGCCCAGCATGAGTTTAAGTCACCAGGACCGGGACTCGAACCGCAGTTGACTACGTGGGAATCCAGCGACATAGCCATTACGCTAACTGCTGATTCCATTAACTCACTTTCGTTCCTCTTCCCCACAAAACTTTCTCTTTTCTTTAAGAATTATTTATCATTATTATTATTTTTAAATTTGCTACAAGGCATGTGAGTTCACCAGAGAGAGACAGAGAGGAAAAGTGAGAAAGCAAGCTGCCATGGGGAACCAGCACTTGGTGTAATGGCTATGTCGCTGGACTCCCATGTAGTCGACCACAGTCCCGGACTCCGTGGCTTAAACTCATGCAGGGGTGCATGCGGGCCCAAGATCCTAGGAGGAAAATGAAGGAGAGGGACTGCAGCATGGCCATTCCCCAGGGTGGTGATTTCTTGCTTTCTGTCTCTCTGTCTCTCTCTGCCTTTCTGGCGAGTGCACGCCCTCTCCAAAAACAGTAAAAAAAGAAAAAGAAAGAAAGCTGCCAGGCTGGCCACCTGCTGGCCTCCCCCCAAATTTCTTAAGCATCCTCTTATTGGAATTTACTTCACAGAGTTGTCTGGGAATTAAACAAAATATTGTGTGCTTAACCAGCACTCATAACACAGTATGGGTTCTCAAAGAAACCTCTTGATAAAAATTTATTTCATTCATTGAAAATCTGAAACTACAGGGCCGGCAGGTGGCATAATGGTTAAAGGCGCTGGACTCCCACATGGGCGACTGCAGTTTGAGTCCTGGACGTGGTGGCTTGCTTCCTCACTTTCCCTCTGTCTCTCTTTCTTATTCTCTCCCTCTCTGGTCAAATTAACATAATAAATAAGTATAAATAAAATAATTATTTAAAAAAATCTGGGGGACCAGCAGGTTGAGTGGCAGTTAAGGCACAGGGCACTCCCACATGGCCAACCATGGTTCAAGTCCCAGACCTGGTGGCTTGCTTTCTCACTTTCTCTCTCTCTCTCTTTCGCTGTCTCTCTCTGGTCAAATTAAAATAAATGAATAAATTTTTTCAAAACTTATTAAAAATAAAAATCTAAAATTACAGTCTCTCCACCCCAGAGCCTCCCATCATGCCCTCCCTGCTGCAAGGAGGCTGTGCAGTGAAGTTGCTAGGCCTGTAGTTCTGAAGTACTGGATGGAGGGGTTGCATCTGAGACCCATCTCTGCCACCTGTTGGCAGCATGACCTTGGACAAGTCACCTGTCTTAGCCTCGGTTTTTTTCTCTCTAAAATGGGAGTAGTATCACCCATTGTAGTTTGTATATGTCCCCCCAAATTCATGTGCTGAGCCACTGAAATGGGATTATGAGGATGGAAACTTGACACAATTACGGTGACAAAAGGTCACTTTGGGGAAGAGACAGGTGGCTGGGTGGCTACAGCAGGCCCCGTGTCTGAGTCCTGCGGGGTTTATAGCAGAGGAACAGAGGCAGGCAGAGCCCACACGGACACGGGTCACGCTTCACTGTGCTCCGAGTTCCTCCTTACGCCATTCTGCCATGGCTGTGAGCCTTCCACATGGACTGAATTGTGAGTCAGCAAACCTCTCTTCTCTTCAGTTCCCTCAGTCTCGCAGTCTCAGATACTTCTGGAAGCAACGCCATAACAGACTAAGCTGGTACCCATAGCACCCTGTGAGGATTAGAATGAGGTGCAGGGGCCTAGCAGGTGGTGCAGTGGTTAAGGCGCTGGACTCCCACATGGCTGACTACAGTTCAAGCCCTGGACCTAGTGGTTTGATTTCTCTCTCTCTCTCTCTGGCAAGCACACATGCCCTACAGCAAACGAAAATAATAATAAGTAAGAGGTCAGCAGACGGCATAGTGGTTGTGTCAATTGTACTCCCACATGGTCGACAACAGTTTGAGTCCCGGATCTAGTGGCTTGAAACTCACGCCAAGCACATGTGCGTGTGTACCCAAGATCTCAGGAAGAGAATGGAGAAGAGAGGATTGCGGTGTGGTCATCCCCCTGCGGGGGTGATTTTTCACTATCCCTCTCATTGTCTCTCTCTCTCACTAGCGAACACACACACCCTATGACTAAAACATCTAAAAACAACAATACTATGAAATAATTTTTTTTTTTAATAATGAGGTGCAGGTGTCCAAGCTGGGCTGTAGCACCACACCTGATGTAGTGAGCTGTCAGGAATGGTGGCTGCTGGGACCAGCAGTTAGCGTAATGGCTATGTCGCTGGACTCCCATGTAGTTGACCATGGTTCAAGTCCCGGACCCGGTGACTTAAACTCACGCCGGGCACGTGTGCGTGCGTGCCCAAGGTCCTGAGAGGAGAATGGAGAAGGGATTACAGCGTGGCTATCCCCCCTGGGGGATGATTTCTCGCTTTCTATCTCTCTTTCTCTGTCTGGCGAGCGCACGCGCCCTACAGCAAAAACCTCTCCAAAAAAAGAAAAAAGGAATGGTGGCTGCTGCTCCTGTCCTCATTAACATCATGTGTCTGGGCCCAGCTACCTCTCGGCCCTCAGCCCCAGTGTGCCACCTGCTCTGTGTGCTGGGCCCTAAAGGGAACATAATCACATTAGCTCATTAAATCCTCATCTTAACCCATTTCCAGATGAGAAAACAGAGGCTCAGAGAGGGTGGGGCCCCGGCCTATTCAGATGGCACACTTCAGGGAAGTGGTACACCCACTTGGGCCAGGCAGCCTCCCAACAAGAGCCTGAGGGGCAATGCTGGGGCTTTTCCCTTCCATGCTCTGACAGAGTGTCTAGGGGTAGACTCAGGAATGAAGCAGGAGCTGCGGAAATGCACCTCCATCCAGGCTGGAACCCCTGAGCTCAACTAAGGAATCTGTCCTGCAGGTGGGAAATCAGGCAACAGGGCATACCAGGCTTGGAAGAGTCACGCTGCCAAGTTGCTAGGGCAAGCAAGCAGATTTGGGCAAAAAGTAACCAGCCAGGAATAAGGAGCTGCCCCTACAGAACCCAGGGACCCCCACCCCTTACCTCCAGACAACCTTCACGACCCCTCTCTGCACACTTCGTACCCGTCACCAGAACAGCAGGGGGAGGCCATGGTATGTCCATCCCGGCGTGCCTGGCTGGGCAGAGGGCACAATAGATGCGTTCAGAGAACCGAACTGAATTGCTGTGTGCCTTCTCCCAGCCAGTGCCCTAAGGGATGGGCAGGATATCAACCCTGAGGAGATATAGCCTCCTGAGACTAGGTATCAGAAATGGCAGTGGGTGGGACCAGCAGTTGACATAATGGCTGTGTCACCAGATTCCCATGTAGTCAACCGTGGTTCGCGTCCGGTACCAGGTGGCTTAAACTCATGCTAGGCACGTGTGCATGCATGCCCAAGATCCTGGGAGGAGAATGGAGAAGGGACTGTGGTATGGCGATCTCCCCGGGCAGTGATTTTTCACTTTCTGTCTCTCTGTCTCTCTCTGTCTGTCTGGCAAGTGCACACCCCTATAGCAAAAACCTCTCCAAAAAAAAAAATTTAATTTAAACCCCCTGTGGATTTTCAATGCTCCCATGTCTGTAGCTTCCATCCAATTCTCCAAAAACCAGCTGACTTCACAGAAATCGGATGTGAGAGCTTCAGTGTCTCGCTGCCTGCACTCTGATCTCAGCCATGCCTCCTCACCCAGTGTGACCCTGTGACGTCTTGCCTCGAAGCCTCCATTTTGTCATCTGTAAAATGGGATGGTGATGGTACCTTTTTCTATCATGAGGGTAAGAGGCTCTGCTTAGCTGTATGCCTGGGTATGGTGTGGCAGAAACTGTGTGTTCACCAAAAAAATAAAATTACTGATTCCTCTTAGGAATATGGCTAAAATCCATTTCCCAGACTCCTTTGCAGATACAGCCATGTGATCGAGTTCGGGCTGATAGAACTAGACAGAAAGAATATGTGCCACTTCAGACCTGGCCCATAAAAAACTCTCACAAGGGGGGCCAGCAGGTGGCATAGTGGTTAAGGCACTTAGACTCCCACATGGCCAACTGGAGTTCAAATCTCACACCTGGAAGCTTGAAACTCATAGCAGGTGCATTGGCGTGTCTGCCCAAAATCCCAGGAGGAGAAGGAAGGAGAAAGGACTGCAGCATGGCCATCCCTCCCTGGGGGGTGATTTCTTGCTTGCTGTCTCTCTGGTGAGCACATACTCCCTACAGCAGAAATCTCTCTCTAAATAAAACAAAACAAAAACTTCTCATG